GCTGCCTGCCCAGGGTGTCCAGCAGCTTCCCGGATGGGAAGGGGGCGGGCGCCCAGCCCGGGCTGGGGAGGAGAGGCCGAAGACGTAACCCAGGCAGAGAGTAGAGGCCGCTGACAGTCGGGGGCCCCGTGGCCCAGACACGTGGACCCTGACGGGCGCGGGCGCCTCCGTCCCCTGCTGCAGCCTGTGTTCTGGAAGGTTCCTAACTGGTCCTGAAGTGTAGCACCAGGCGCTTTTGTCGTGCAGGCATCAACAAGGCTAGTCACACCCCTGGACCGTGTGGCCTTCTGCACATCTCGGCTCCGGGTAGTTGCCGGTCACCCTCTTCTGTCATTCTCTTGTGACCAAGCCTGTGCCTGGCTGGCCTGACCTCATCCCCGGGCTGGCAGGCCTGGTGGTCAGCCGCCAGGGGGCGCAGCGAGCCCAGGCGCTGGGGCTAAGCTGCTTGGGTGGGGGTGTCCCCCCCAACTCCAGGCCTTGGGCTCCCTCTCCCGGCCAAGCCAGGTAGCCAGCGACCATTTGTCGCCGCCAACGCCTGTCTGTTACCAGGCCAGGCCGCCGGGACTGGAGATGCCCAGCCCCCTTCCCAGGATGCCTGGCCCATCCTCTGCCCCAGCTTCCCAGCGAGGGTGGGGGTGAGGGTGGGGGTGCATTCGGTCTGGCAGCTCCTGACAGCTGGGCAGGCAGAGGGGAAAGGCTCTCCGTTAACTAGCGGGAACCAGCAGGCTTTGCTGCCCGTCTCTAGCCCCGGCCGGAACTTCTGGGTGAGGATGACCTGGCCCAGTGGGGCAGAGCATCAGCGCTGCAGCCCTCGGAATCCCAGCCTGCTTCGGCTGGTGGGGCTCCTGAGCTCAGGAGGTTGCGGGGTGCAGCCCGGGGCCACATCAGCGGCAGGAACACGTTGCAGGCTGCGCCCGAGGGGTCCAGCAGCAGCGCCTCGCCCCCACCCGGCCGAGGCGCGTGGCCTGCAGGCCCCTGCGGGTCGCACCGCAGCTGCGTCTTGGTGTGGCAGGACCAGCAGAGCGGGGACGCCGGCTCAGGTCCACCCAGACCTCCGTGAGGCGGTTGGAGGCCAGGCCAGTGCCCCGCCCAGGCACCGGCACCAGCATGGCGCTCCCCAGTGGACGGTGTGGGCAGCCGGGCCCTGGCCAGCACCTTGGACCGTAGGTTCCGGGCTCAGCACACCGAGCGCGCTGGCTCTGCTCTGCCCGGTTCAAGGGCCGTGGGAGGCGCCACTGCTGCGGCGGCAGCAATAGCAGCGCCGTGCAGAGGCTCTGGCTGCGGCCTGTGGGCCGTCGCCAGGGCCCTCGAAGGCTGCAGGATCGCGAATTGTGGGATGGAGGGACCACGTGGTCAGCCACACTTCCTCACACTAGCGCCCAGTTGCACTTTGCCGCCTGCCCTGCCCAGGGCTCCTGGGGTGGCCCCAGGGCGAGCCAGCCCCGTCCTTTACCTTGGCATCGGCTTCAAGTCCAACTGTCAGGAGCAGCAGCTGGAGCAAGAGGAGGGAGTGCGTCAGCGCGCCGGGGCCTCAGGCCAGGTGGCCACACCCCACCCTCCTGTCCTCGGTGGGCTCCGTGGGCCCACACCCCACCCTGCTGTCCTTGGTGGGCTCCGCAGGCCCACACCCCACCCTGCTGTC